TCTTGGCCATCGAGTGTCGAGCGTTATGTATACGAGTGCGAGTGAGACAAGAAACCGATATTTCTCTCTTTCTAATTTTTTCTTCGGAAGCGAGAATTTTTCGTTTTGACGATCGAGTGTCGAGCGTTCTGTATATCTATATATATATCGGCGTATAAGCGCGGCATTTTTAAATCGAATCTTGATACAAAAACGACGTGCCATAAGCATCAAGATTTGATTTAAAAAATCCGCGCTTATACGCTAATATATATAGACATACAGAACGCTCGACACTTGATGGCCAAAGTTGAATAATACTCACTACCGCATGAGAAAATAGAAAGAAAGAAAAACCAGTTTCGTTTCTCACTCGCACTCGCATTCACGACCGAGAGGCCCGAGAATAGCTGAAAACCTTTCGTTTGTGTTGTACACACGACGCTCGTACGCATATACCCCCCGCTCACGTGTAACACCGATGGAGAATCGGGACTTATCCCCACTCTTACAATTATGCTTTACCATCTTTTTTTCAATATTTTTCACTTATTTTTGGACTTCTCAACATTTTTTATATATATTTTTCAATTCTCTACAACTTCTGTTTGAAACTTTTTTCGATTTAATGCCTAGATTCTGAGATATCCGGTTATAAACGCTATTCAATTTTTTTCTCAAAAACCCGATATTCTATTACAAAATAATTAGTATGATTCGATTCAGCATCGTCAAATTACCCTTATATCCAATTTTTGAACTTCCTGATAAAAATTCTCCAGTTTGCCTCTTGTTGACTGGCCAACACACAAATATTTAATAATAAAATTGATAATTATAAGGTTTAATACGGGCGAAAAACTTCTAATCACTTACAACTGTTCCACTAATATGGTAACTTACACGCAGTAAGCTGGTCACTGGTTCTTAGACTATAAAGATACAATAATAGCTTACTTGGGACGAGAACGTAAAGTGGACAAATTAATGATTTATCTAGTTTCCGCTAGAGAGCATGTCGTATGCAGTCGCACACATATACATAAAAGTGCCCCAAATTTGTCCTATGGCAACCAATAAGGTCAGCTGCTAGTAACGCTATTGTAGAATTTATAAACCCTAGCTCAACGTGAGAGTTCTTACTTATTTCTATATTGTTCTCTGTTTTCTTACGATAAATATGTACACGCGCTACCTAGCCTCAATGAACAACATGACACTATAATTATTTTATGTACAATTATTTTTATTACAAATATATTGTTACAATTACTTTTACATCAATCAAATCAATTCGACTAACATTAAAAGACACGATAGGAATAGGTAGTAATATTTAATTTGATGTACAATAAACAAGAAACTACTATTATTAATATTAGATTTTCTTATTACTGACATAATAGGTATAAGGGTTGTATAATTCTTTCAGGGAATTATAACCTAAACGTGTGAATGTAACATAGAATTGCATGTAACTAAAGTAAGAAAATATCCACATGTTTAACTTATATTGTTTACGGTTGGTCCAAACAAAGTATCACGAGTCAGGCTCGTGCTTATAGCGTATGGTTAAAATTTCTTACTATGAGTCTTATTTGTTGTTTTAGGACAAAGGGTTAATAAGGTGAATACTCAGTGCAAATCATTGGAGTTTCTTCTAGGGTCAAATCTTAGACTCGGACTGTAAACAGCATAATAAGCTGAAAAAGCGATAAGATGTAATGCGTCATTTAAATAATTTTGTGGAATGCGCTTACAAAGTATAAAAGGCCTCGAAGTGGGAAAAGCGATAAGCTTTCTGAAGAAAGACCACTATAATAGATTTCACTGCATTTATACCAAAATCTTCATACAGTTTAGCAATATTTTTTAAACATCTTTATTTTTGATCACTAAAATGTTTGTTAGAAAGCACGAAAGTGTAAGTGCAAATGAGTCGAGTAGTGATGAAGAAGTATTTAAATTTCCAAGAAAACTTAGTAATATTATTGCATCAAATTCAAGCTCAGAAAATGAGAATTTCTATGAGAGTGAAGATTTTGAAGAACTATTAGAAAACCTGACTATAGAAGAAGAGAATGAACAGACTGATACTGTTGACCCATTTGACAATATCCAGTGGATGGAGTTTACCGGAAAACAAAAATTATTTGAATTCACTGGGAAAAGTGGACTTCTTGTGAAACTACCTTCCAGTATTACAGCGGGTCAAGTCCTTTCTCTCTTTTTGAATGAACAAGTGATAGATCTTATAGTGATGGAAACAAACAGGTACGCAGAGAAAAAATTTGGTCACAGTGCAAACAGCGAATATGCTCAAGACAACGGATGGAAACCAACAAATTCTGAAGAAATCAAAATATTTCTTGGGCTATTGCTTTGGATGGACTTGGTGCAAGTGCCATTAACCAAATGTTGGTCAATAGATCCTCTTTATAATTTTCCATTTCCCCGTAGTAAAATGTCTCAGAATCGATTCGAATTATTATTATCAAATTTACATTTTGCAAACAACGAAGCCATACAACAAAACAATCGACTTGGAAAAGTGTTACTATTACTACAGATACTTACAGATAATTACCAACAAATATTTTTACCTGGTCCAGAAATTGTAGTTGATGAGACTATAGTTCCTTGGAGGGGAAGGCTCATATTCAGGCAATACATACCGACAAAGTCACATAAATATGGGATAAAACTGTTTAAATTATGTTCTACAGAAGGTTATACATGGACCATTAAAATATATGCTGGAGGAGATATCTGTGGGATCAACCAAACCTGTGGGATCATACCCGAAAACGTTTGCATCGAGCTCATAAACAAGCTATTGAATGAAGGACGTACCTTGTTTATTGACAATTTTTATGCAAGCTACGAATTAGCTATAAGGTTGTTAAATTTCAAAACCCATATTGTTGGAACAGTACGTCACAACAAGAATTTTATGCCAAGAGATGTTAGACTTCACCGATTGAAAAGGGGTGAAATAATATCACGGGAAGATAATAATGGCATTGTAGTGCTGAAGTGGAGAGATGTCCGTGATGTCTGTATATTATCATCGATACATGCACCTGTTATGGTACCAATTGCGGATTCTTCCATTCTTAGTAATAGTCCTCCAAAAATGAAACCTTTAGCAGTAATAGCATACAATACTGGGAGATCTGGCATTGATAGGAGCCATCAAATGGCATCATATGCAACAACAATTCGGAGGAGCATAAAATGGTATCAGAAACTAGCAATTCACTTCCTAATAGGAATTTCTGTAATGAATGCACATATTGTTTATCAAAAAGCAACGAACCAGAAAATAAAAATAAGAAAATTCCGAGAGCTTATAGTTCGAGAGTGGTTAGTATCAGAAAACGCAAAGCCTCATATAATAGAGAAAGCATTTCATCAGCTGCAAGTTCGAAAAAATCCTCAGGGCAAATCTATAAGAAGGATGTGCGTTCGGTGCTATGCAAAACAAAGACAAACTCAACAACGCCAGGAAGTAAGGAAACATTTACAAAAGACCATAACGTATTGTCCTGAGTGTCCACGGTCACCTCAATTATGTTTCTTATGTTTTAACGAATACCATCATAACCAATAAAATATTATATGTAAGTATAATTTTAATTTGTTAGTATAAGTATATTTTATGTTTTATTATTTTTTTTTTATTATTAATATTAATATGTTGTTAATATTTGTTTTTGTTTACTTTATATGGTGTATACTCATCTTAATTATGTTACAAATAAAATTACTATAAATTACTTTCCAAACCCTGTTTTAATTGGACGTTCAACATGATAATCGGTGATCCCGACATGTTATAAAGCTTTCCCTTCATTCGGATTCTTTACAATTTCTTTAATGAAGCACATAGTTGACATAGCAGCTGTCAAGTTTTCGTCACTTATTTTATTAATAACTGCAACTATTGTATTAAATTAACATCTGTGAGCAATAAAGCCTACATTTCTTCATTGAAAGTTGATATTAATTGTATATACGCTAAAAATTCCTCTAAAACAGTCTTCTCGTGATTTCTGATACACTGATTTGATAAAATATAAAAACAAATTAAATGAAAGTCGTGATTTAGTTAATATATATACATAAATAATAATTTATTGGGTCCATAACACGTTTGTCATTCAGCTGTGGGTAACGTTCTTCTTGTCCAATTTCAATAAAATTTTGAATTGGAATTTTACAAAGAATTTAATGGAATAAGCATTGAAATATATATAAATATAAAATAAACAAAATAAAAATATTAAAAATATACACCTTATATTATACTTTTTAGGATTTTATCCTAAATATAAATTAAGAATGATTTGTAGGTATATTGAAAATGATAGATTAGTCAGACAAGTCTCCTCCAAAAGCTCTTCAAAAGATCAAGGATTTTTTTACAGTTGACTTTCTAGAGCTTGAGATTGCTCTATAGTTTTTTCTTTTTCTAATTTGGCTGCTTGTCTCTACAACTTTCTTTTGCGACATCTTCAGCTGCTAGTCCAACTTCTTTTCCATATTGTTTGAAAGCTCTGAACCCAAAGCTTGGTATGTCCATGCACGCAAATAATTTTTGGAGATGTGTCCAACCTAATCCACTGTGTAATGCACCTACAAATGAGGAAGATTCAGATGAGAAAATCAAATTATTACGTGATATAAATTAATAAAAAGGAAAGTGAATAAATAAAGAATTATTACCTATGACGGATTTATAATTAATGTCATAACGTAGAGACCGTTTATCTGTAGAAGATTTTTGTTTTCCAGTATAGATTTCATTTATAATCAAACACTTGTGGCATTTAACCATCAAAATTGACGCTAACCCTATGCGTCTTTCTGATTCAATGTTCTCCAAAGACAACACTTCTTTACATGAAATGCACCACAATTGTTTGCCCAAGTATTTCAAATTAACTATACGACATCCTTCAAGTATTTCTGCTTTTTTTTCGTTATTTTTATCATTCACTGGCTCTTTTGAACTTCCACTTGCTTCATTCTCATCAAGTTTTCTACATTGCTCTTTCAGTTGGAGGCCAAGTACGGTTTGTTTTACTTGTTGGGCATAGACTTTTTGGCTGACAATTCTTCCTTTCCATCGATATTGTTTTTCAGATTTCGGCATGATATTATAATTTAATTAAAAATAAACACTTTCAAATGCAAAACATTAACCTCGAACAGCATCAGTATTGTAAATAAACAGTTGTATTATTGCGCAATGCGCACACGCATACTTTTTAGCTTTGAATTTAGAGAATATTACAACTATCGCTATTAAAATGTCGCGGTATTGTCACATTTCAATGAATATAGAAATCACGTTTATTTTATTTTATTAATTTAAATAAAAATAAATTAATGTGTGTGTGATTTTCTGAGATACAAATCTGTCTTCTAATTTTATTTGAAGTATGTTGAGATAATTTGTCTTCTATCAGTGATTTCTAATATAAAATATTATAGTATTTTTTATATGTAAAGTTAAATTCAAGGTACAGTCACTGACATTTTTTTTACAATTCTAAGAAATATTAAAAATTTAACTTAAAAATTAATTAAAGGCAAACGGATGTTGACTTTATTACAAATTTGATATCAAAAACTGATGGAAAAAAATTTTTTGTTGAAATACCTGACCTTAAAAGATATTGAAAGATATTAGTTCAATGAAAATTTGACATATTTTTTTCTCCGATTGTACTGACAAATCATCCTTAATAAAAATTAATAATAAAGATTAATAAATTACATTGCTCAGTTTACGTTCTGGTACACCGACAGTCGAATTTCGATCCCACGAGAAATTCAACCGAATCATGGTGGGTTACGAACGTGTTAAAGAAAAACTTTACGCCATCGAAATCCATTATTCTCAGCGTTTGGATACAATGAATATTAGTTACATTACGTGATAGATAGCGAGCACGTGTTTCGTTCCGATGTAGGGTAGAAGCGCCAGTTTTGGATACTACCAATATTGTGAATAATTATATTAATAATTTAGAATAGTTTACTTTGATATATTAAAAATATAAAAAATGCTATTACTATAGTAAGTATACGATAAGTATTCTTAAATATTATAGAATTATCTGTGATGCGAATACAAATTATTTTAATAACTTCTCTCATAAAATAAATAAAAATAAATATCCAGGGATCCACTCTTGAGTAATTCTTATCACAAGTGTTAAAGATAATTTCTGAGTAAGTAAAAAAAAATAATTTATATAATTTAATTTATTAAACTCTTAATATTTTCGAATTATTCATTACATACAAATTTAAAAATACTTTAATGTTTAGGTTTTATATTGCCACGGCCAATAACTAGGACGCCACTGGTGATTAATGTTTGGTAATATTTATTCCAATCAACAACAATAACAGAAATTATACGATGTAGTTGTCATGTGACTCTCAAACACGTGCGCATGCGACAAGGAGTTAAGCTTTACGATCTGACTGACTAAGTGGACAAAGGAAGACTGAACGGAACTAGCGTTCTCTGGCATTCGTGATGCCTTTATGTAGCGACCTGCTGTCGATAAGCAGATTTCTACTTTATCCTATGCAACGACTGGCGCCGCCATCCTCACTGCTMRTTCTTTGGYAAACTACTTGAGCGCTAGCACTCTATCACAGCTAACAGCGTTTCTATGGGAACGTTAATGATTCCATAGTTACAAAGACTTTCTTCTTCYGTTGTTTGAAAATAAATTAGTTAGTCAAGAAGTTGCACTTACTCGCTCCATAACGTATTAATCCTCAACGCATTTTTGTTATCCGTTTTTGTTCTTGTTTTCGTTTTGTTCTGTAATAGTTTATAAATAAATAAATGTTACATRAAAATAGTAGTGGTGATCAGAGTTCAAACCAATAGTATTCTAGTTCCTGATTCTTGCCGCTACATTTATGTTGATTGAGCTGCCATCTGGTGTTACTAGCGGGAGTTGGCTGAGACGCCACAAATGTTATATATGTAAAAAAATGTACTTTCTTTAAAATTGAATTTGCCGCGCTATCACAGTTGGGTAGTAAACTTGGCAATATGGATTGATGATTAGAGAGGAATATATAGATACGAAAAAAGAGAACAGAAAGCACGTATGTAATTTTTAGTGCAAAACAAAGGGCAAATAAAAGTATAACGTGGAAAAAGGAACTTTAATTGTCGTTTCTCTGTTGGGTAAGACTTTAAATACTGTATATATGATTTAGTCGATAAATAAATTTTTAAAACTTTGTTACAAAGCAACTGGATTGAGTTTTACTTTCTTGAAAAATCTCAACAATATAGGAATTAAGAGATTATTTGTTTTATATATATATAATTTCTAAAATATGTTGATGTCAATATAACCTAAAATATTAAGAAAAGATATTACTGTCCGCAAATAGCGACAACAAAAAACAGATCCACTATTTTTGGACATGATTCAGTTGGTTATAATGTTTTCTTTTTAAATAATCATAATTACATATAAAGAATAATTATTTATTACTAATTATTCTTTATATGTAATACATAAAAATATATTTTAAATTACAGGTCAAAATGCCGTCGAAAAGAAATGTCAATAATTCTTCTACAAGTATAAAAACCGATAAAATGAAAAAAGCAAAATCAGTCAAGACATGTTTTAATTGTGATGAAGAAAATTTAAAATATGCTCTTATAATATGCTTAAAAATGAAGAAAAAATTGCTACAGCAAGCAAATTATATAATGTTCTTGAGACAATTCTACATAATAGATTTTATAAAATAGTCTCCTGAAATTATTGGAAGAGTTGGACTTGTATCTATACTTATTAGTAAGATTGAGGATCGGTTAAAAGAATGGGTGTTGGAAATTTGTTATAAAGGTTTTCCCATCTATAAAGAATGTTATTTCAGTGAAGTAGTTAATCAAAATTGGAAACATGAATAATCCTTTCACAGATGGTGCACCGGGAATAAAGTGGTTTTAAGGATTTGTGAAACACCGCCTACGAGTTAGTCGTAAAAAAGCTGAGAATCAGGGATACTATAACTGAACATCATATTCGTGCATGGTTTAGTATGAAAGATTTTTAAGAAAGAAATTTAAGATTTATAAGAAAGATTTAAAAACAAAAGTAAATATATTTAAAGATCCTCGATAGGTTTTTAACATAGATGAAATTGCTATCTATCTGTTGCAGAGTGGAGGTATTGTCTTATCTAAAAAAGGGAAAAGCTGTTTATGACGTAACAAGAAATGAAAAAGAAAATGTAACATTATTTACTGTAAACGCATGTGGAGAATCGGTAAAACTGAAAATGGATAGATGTTCATAAGCGTAATGTACCTTCATTGTTCGTTAAGGTTATTACTAAAAATGATTTTGTTGCATCTATAAAAAATGGCTTTGCTACAACTGGTTCGTATTGATTAACACTAAACCTACCACTCGCAGTCAAATGACCATGTTCTGTAATTTATAAAAATGTGATAATTTGTAAAAAATGCAGTAAAATCTCATAAAATATACATTATTCATTTCTAAATGGAAGAAAATATATTGTTCACTAACCAATAGATAAAAATCTTATTTTATATTAAGATATATGTTTAATTTTAAAGCAGTCATTTGACCGCTAATGGTAGGAGTAGGTATACATAAAATATCGGTAGGTTTAGTGTTAAACGAGAATGCAATAAATTATACAAAATGTGTGATTGATAATTTATATACATCGGTAAAAAATGATATTAGAAAAAAAACATTAACATATTGGGAATATTTAGAGTCAAGAATGGATATTGAAGTCTTACAACATTTTAAAAATGCCAAAAAAGCAAACATTGGTTGGAAAACTAAAGATAAATATGCATCATTGTATGATGCATGCTTATTTGTTGAATATGAAATCAGATCAAAAGCTGAAGTATTATTATTAATATCTATAATATCATCTTTTTCTTCGTGTTCTTATGATTATAGATAGATATATATATATATATATATATGATATAGAATTTTCGTTTCCTGAGTAAAAAGCATCAATTTCTAATAATTGTAAGTAAAATAAAAAGCCAACTAAACAATTTACTGTTTATTTTGTAATTTATATAACTTTTTAATTAGATAATATTCTATTAATCATTGGTGCTTTCTTAAATAAGATATTAATTTCAATTGTTAAGTTATAGATTTAATTTTTTAATAAAAAAAAGCTTGATAATTTAAAGAGATATTTTGAATTGATGCAATTAGGTTATTGTTCAAATAATAATAATTTTTTTTTCTATAACTCTGCTAAGTAACGATAACTCTTCAGCTCCTAATTCTGACCTACATCTTTTTAGTCATTCTTCTTTTCCAAATTTCATCATGAAAATCAGCGATTCTAATGTTAGTGATATTTTTCTGATTGAGAACGATTTTTTGAATTATGAAGTGGTTGAAAATTGTGATGTTAATGTTCAAAAAATTTCTAACTATTTAGATAATAATTGTAATGATTAGATTAATAATATCTTTACTAATCAATCATCAGATATTTTCATTTATTAGTCGACGAAATATTTAATAAATTAACTTTATGGCCAAAGAAAAAACATCCTAAAAAAACGTATATCTGTAGAGTATTTACCTTCTGTAGTCACTGCTGAGGAATGGTTAAATATTATGGAGGCCAAAGATAAGGAAAAAAAAGATTAAAAAATTGAGAGACAACTGAAAGCAGAAAATAATGTGGGATGCGAGTTTAGTGTGTATGCATGCATTTGACAACATTAGTTATGTTTGAAGGAAGAAAAAGAAAAGAGTGACGGTCTCTTAAAAGAACATTATTGAGTATGTACCCTGTGAGCGAGTAGTTGCTAAGCAAAGCAGCGATTATCAAGTTTATATTTTGGTGTGATATCGATTAAGATTATTATATGCATATATATTAAGTGCTCATTCTGGAAAAAAAGAAAAGAATGTATCGGCAAATGAGTTTAGATGTTTGGAGAGCAATGTGAGATGAATGAGCAACGAGAAAGTATATTAAAAGATTTTAGAGAGTATATTATTGAGTTGTGGAGAGAATATCGAATTGAATGTATTAGAAAGTTTTTGAAAGATTATAATGAGTTGTATACATTATTGCTAGAATTGCAATAATTAGTGAGACATAACTTATTTTAGTATTCATATTTCATACGTTAGTAAATTTAATCCTACAATAATAAAAAAATCAAAGAAGGTAAACATTTTAAAAAATCTAAAAAGTTATTAAGAAAAGCCAGCAAGAAATTAAAAAAATAAATAAAATAATAACTTTTTTATGTCACTAAATTATTTTTAATGTTTTCAATGCTATGTTTTTTATATTCTTTTAGTAGTGCACTTTACCTAGTTATTCTGCAGATTAATTGATTTGCTCCATTAACGTGCGGAATCAAGTTTTCCTTAGGCAGTGTATACATAAACGGTTTCTGTAGCATTAAAGTTTACAAGTTTGTTTGCATAGAAAGATTTTTAATGAAAGAAGATGTTCCTTCCTGAGAGAAGATAAAGAAATATCTTTACATTAAATAGCAATAAAACGAACCCTTGATACTGGACAGGTTTTCAGAAAATGTGACTGTAAATCTAAATGTAACACAAATAAGTGTGTTTGTCGTAAAAAACAATTGCTATGTAATTTAAAGTTTTATCAATCTTTAGATTGCACTAATAACTAAGCCAAATTTTATCATATTATGTTTTGCAATTCATTTCCTTAATTGTAATAATATTTTAAACCGCTTGATTCTTTCTATTATTGTTTTTTATTTGACTGATAATTGATTCTATCAATTAATTTGTTGATTGTTTTAACTTGATTCTTTAGATATCGAAAAATATATATAAGACTATAACTCTTATCATTAAGTGAGGATAACCAATAAACTAAAATTTGTTTTTCTGAAAACCAAAATTCAAATTGCTATTTATTATATACATTATTTAATTACATCAATCACTATATCTAAATACCCTTACCTGAAAACCAAAAAAACGACAATTAAAGTTTATTATTCCCACCTATTCTAAACAGTTTATTTATTTATATTTATAACGAATATTCTTTACTCCTTTTTGCATCTGCTTTATCTTGTATTCTCTCCCTTCCTTTGTTTATCAATCGCCACTCATTTCTTTCTACCGATGTTATTAATCGATCCTTCCAACGAGAGCTGCTTGAAGTGCGACAAAACACATCAAAGGAATAAATTTCCTTTACATATATAAAAAACATTATGTTAATTTAAATGAGTACAGAAACGTAACTATTGTTCTTATTCTTATTTTCACTTTAACGAGTACCTAGTTAGCAGATTATTTAGGTAATTTGAAAAATAAAACAATTTTCGGTGCTTTACCAGATCATCCTAGTTTAATTGTTAGTTACCTAGATAATCTACAGAATAACCGATTTACCGGATATACACTCCAAGAAAATAAATGCCATTCCACTCTTCGTATTGATCACGCATATAACAACTAGTAAATTCGAGAATCTTCTATACTTTTTTTGACTGTCAATTGCCCGATTTCACATGCACACATATACACAACTTACTGACGCAAAAATTTTCCACACTATAGTATCACGTATATTTACTCATGCACACAATGCATACTGAAGCGAGGTTTACACAGAAAACAATGTTTCTATGATTATTCGTTCTTAAGTATCAGAACTATATTTACTATATAATAGTAGGGTATTTTTCTATTTTTTCTAATTTCTTAGCAACGTCAGTTGCTAATTTGCAGCAATTCGCGCATAACATCAACAAATTTCATACGTATACGTAATTATATTAGGTATCTTCTAGAAAGCAAGCGATTTAAATGAGACATCCTTGTACACATTTAATAACGAAATAATAGAAATAAGAAAGAATGTGAAAAGTCAATAATCGTTCAATGACTTAATCTAGCATAAGGAACCACGCGGTATTGTAAAATAAAGAATAAGTGTATGTATCAAAGAAACTGCAAATGGGAAGATTATTAACAACAAACAATTAAAAACTAAAGATAAATAAGTCGGAAATTAAACTTTTTCCAGTCATAATTTATTTTATGAAGACAATTAATTAATCGAAGAACATCATAATAATACGAAACGCTATACGATCACAAGAAGTTGTTATAATTAATGAAAAGTATGATATAGGCTGTTTTAATCAACATGCTCAACATGCTAGGATTAACAGAAGAAGATGCTAGTGAGTTTCAACCTATTTTCTATACAAGAAAATCCATAATGTCATTACAAAAGTTTAAAATTTTCATTCTAGATTATCTTTGTTTGAAATACTATATTAAAAGCACAATGAATATTCTCATAGAGTACTACAAGTGTGCAAAATTTGAGAAAAATCAGAGGGGGCCTACCCGACCATCCCCTTGTCAGACAAAACTATACCCAGAGTGGCAGTATTTACGTACAATTAATCTTAACACATTACAGACTGCTAGCCTATTAATAGGCTTTTGTTGTCACCAACCCTTACCAAACAAAAATTTATTAATCAGCTTTTTGTCGTTGACCAAAAGCTTGGTCGGTTGACATGGCAATGATCAGTCATTATCATTACATGAACAGTAATTAATGTTAATAGAATCTTATTAGTATCTATATTTAAGCTATAGATTAAGATAGTAGTAAGCATTGATTAGATATTATAAGTTTCTAAAATAGAAACAGATTTGGTCCTAAGCAAATGTACATCAAAATGTTTTAAAGAAAGTCCATTTAAGAGATTTCTAGTATTTACAAAAATCTGATATTTACTGTAGGATAATAATCTAGAAAAAATTGTTAACCGTTGTCTTAGATCAAAATTCAAATTCCTTATAATCAACAAACTGTTTATATTTATCAGTTATATTATTTTGAGCAAGGATTCATAATAGAAGCTGAATATTTACCATTCAAACATTATGTAGTTTACCAATTGAGTTTGAAAGCAAATTCGATCAACGTTCGTTAGACACTGCGGATATCAGTTGAACTTTTGTATTTTTATTCTTGTCGACTTTATCCTCATATTGTACAAACTATTAACCTTCATAACGATATTGAGAAAAAAAATTTTTTAATTAATATAAAAAAATATTGTAAAAAATACAATAATTTGACGTTATTAGAAAAAAATTCTTTTAACATATATTGCGAACGGTGTAGTGTTTACTAGTGAAATTGAAACAAAAGTTCAAACAAAGTATTTCTAACGGACTACCTATTTACGTGCCGTTATTAAAAAGCCTTTTATTTGTTTTTAAAATGTATAACCAGGATGATACTATAGATTCTTATATATCTAAAGCTAGTGTGTTAATGCTAGAAAAATTTCATCCAGAAAATGCTTCTATTTATTCTTGGCTAAATAAATTTGAATCTGTAGCAGAAAATATCGGAATACCTAATCATAGAATGGGTGGATTCTTATATTCAATGTTGGAATCTCCAGAAAATTTAAATATCACGAAAGATGATCGTACTGGGTTACCTTTCAATCATT